ATATATATATATATATATATATATATATATATAGTGTAAGTGCTATGGAGAATAAGTAGGTAGGGAAGGTATAAGTAAGCATGGCATTGTCGGTGACCATTTTAAACAGAATCATAAAGGAAGGTCTCTTTTTTTTTTTTTTAATATATCTTTATTGATTTCAGAGAGAGGAAAGGAGAGGGAGAGAGAGAGAGAGAAACATCAGTGATGAGAAAGTCATTGATCCGCTGCAGCCCGCAACCCGGGCATGTGCCCTGACTGGGAATCGAACCCTGATCGCCTGGATCCTAGGTCGATGCTTAACCACTGAGCCACACCTGGCCGGGCAGGAAGGTCTCTTTGATAAGGTGACTTGAATAGGAATCTGAATGAAGGAAAAGAGAGTCATTCAGATACCTGAGTAGAGACTGTACCAGGCAGAGTTAGCAAGAGCAAAAGCTCTGAGCCCTGGCCTGGTGCCTCAGTTGGAGCATTATCCATACAACAGAAGGTTGCAGGTCTGATTCCCAGTTGGGGCACATACCTAAGTTGCAGGTTCGATCCCCAGTCAGGGCATGCACTGGAGGCAACAGATTGATGTTTCTCTTTCACATCGATGTTTCTCCCTATCAATAAAAACATATCCTTGGGTGAGGATTAAAAATTAAAAAAAAAAGAGCAAAGGCTCTGAGGTGGGAACCTGCATGGCAAGTTTAAGAAACAAAGAGCGCCCTGGCTGGTGTGGCTCAGTTGGTTGGGCATCCTCCCATGCACCAAAAGGTTGCTGGTTCTGTTCCCAGTCACAGCACTTGCCCAGGAGGGGGTGTGCAGGAGGTGCCAATTGATGTTAAGCTTTGACATCGATGTTTCTCTCCCTCTCCCCCTAAAAAACAATTTAAAAATCTTAAAAAACAAAACAAACAGCAAGGAACCACTGTGACTAGACTGGAGTGAGAGTGAGAGAATAACTGAAAATAAAGACAAAAAGGTAAAAGATAAAAGCTGAAGTCTAAAATGGCAGGCAAGGCTCTAGATCTGCACTATCTAAAATAATAGCCACTAGCCACAAGTGGCTACTAAAATATACTTAAAATTCAAATAAAACTTAAAATTGAGTTCCTCAGTTGTACTAGCCACATTATAAGAACTCAATAGTCACATGTGGCTGATGGTTATTGTATTGGGCAAAACAGAACATTTACATCATCTCAGAAAGCACTTTTTGGACAGGTGGTTCTATCAGTGGTTCTCAAGTAAGGGTGTATTTTTTGGTTCCCCCAGAAACAATTGGCAACATTTGTACCAAATTGGAGACATTTTTGGTATCCATAACTAGGGGGTGGGGATGGGGGAGGTGCTACTGGCATGTAGTGGGTAGAGGCTGGGGATGCTGCTAAGCATCCTACAATGCATAGGACAGCATCCACAACAAAGAATTATCCTACCCAAAATGTCAATAGCATCAGGGTTGAGAAGCCCTGCTCTGTATCAGTCTTGACTACAACTCTAACCTCACTGCCTCCTCCTTCCACAAGCTGCTCCAGCCTCCTGGCCCCCTTCCTACATGTCACATACTCCATTCCTTCCTCAGAACTTCTACTGTTGCCTCTTCCTAGACACTCTTCTGTAGTTCATGCTCTCATTTTCTTCATGTATTTCCTTCAGTGTCACTTAGAGAAGCCTTTCTTCACAGCTTGTGTAAAATACCAACATCCTCTCCATCACCCTCTTTTTGGTGTGTGTGTTTTGTTTTGTTTTTCTAATCCATACTATTTCCTGACAGTACACAGTTTCTTATGTTTATTGACTGTTTCCTTCACTAGAATGCAAGCTCCAAAGGACTTACGTATTTCTTTCCAGCATAAAGAATAGTGCCCAGCAAGCAGTTAGATGCTCAGAAAATACATTTTTTGAATGACATCAATGAAAACATTGGGCATACCTTTCATGTGGCTCCACAACAGCATTACAAGCACTTACTTGTCATCACTTTACTTGCCAAACTCCCAAAAGGTACTCGAAGGAAGGTCTGTATCATTTTTCTGAATCTTCAATATCTAGCATAGTAGGCACTCAGTAATGCTTAATGAAAAATGAATTGGTATCTGTTTAGTAAAATAACATCCCCAAACAACCACCACTGCCAAATTAAATTAATCATGCTTTGAATGCCTATTTTAAAGACTGCATTTACAGTACATTTCATGACATATTTAGCTGTGATTCGTAAAAAAATGTTCAGTTTGCTCACGGGATCTGCAGATGTGTATACACTTCAGCTACTAAATGGCGGTATGCCAATGAAATGTTAAAGAATCTAAAACAAGGCTTAAAAATGGAAGGAGACAGAGGCAAGGGTTCTACATCTGATTCCTAATCCGGACTTCGTCCAGCAGAGCATGGCTGTTTCCCTCCCGGGAGTGTGGGGTGCTGTCCGTCATAGTAACAACAGCTAACAGCTGGGGGTCAGGCACTGTTCCTCAGCCCCCTGCCAACAAGCCTGCAGCAGGTACCTCTATTAGAGCCATGTCGGTAGGAAGCGGAGGGGGAGGCTGACGAGCTCGCCCACGGTCGCCCGGAGCTGGCGGGTTAAAACCCGGGCCTCTGGCTTCCAGCATTCCCAGCCTTAAACTGCTGTTCGCTACGGCCCCGCCTAGGACCAAGCCTGCGACGGCCGGAACGCCAGCAGCTGCCCACGGCAGCTCGAGGGCCAAGTCAGCGCGCAGGCCGGTAGGCGCGGCACGGCACGGGCGAGCGGAAAACACACGAAAAGCTTTTCGCAGCAAGACGTCAACACCAAGTTATTTTAACGCTACCGCGCAATTTCAGAACATCAAACTACAGGAACACCCAACCGAGACGTGGCCGCGGAGGACTTTCAACCGCTCGCGGGGGCCGGGCCGGCGGGCGGGGAGGAGGCGCCTCCATTGGCCGGCCCCGCGGCATCACGGGAGTTCGACGCACCGTGGGGCCGGCGCCCTCTTTCCACGCACCTGCGCAGTCGCCCCAGGTGCTCTTTTGGGGGAGGGACTCAGGAGGGCGTCGGGGCCTCGATTTCCGCCACCAGCTCCCTTTTGAAAGGTTGATGTTCTTGGTGCGAACGCAGTGCTTTCCTAAACAGAGCCGTGAGACTCCGCTGCGGGTCCCGGCCAGCCCGGAACCACAAGTTGGAGCGCCGCGTTTCCTGATGGGCCTCTTTGGCGTTCACTTCCGCACAAGGCTTTGGAATTCTCCGGGCGCTCGGGCGGCGTAGAGCTGGGAAGGCGCTTCCGGGGCGCGTTGCCTAGGCGCCGACCCCGCCCGCCTAAAGGAGCGGTGGTATTGGCGTCGTCCTCTCCCCGCTTCCCGGGGGTCGAGATGTCGGGGCTCAGCGCCGCAGAGAGAGAGGGCTGTCGGAACCTGCTCGGCCTCCTGGAGAACGACGAGATCGTGGCCCTGTGCGACACCATCACCAACCGCCTGGTGCAGCCTCAAAACCGCCAAGGTAAGAAGAGACCCCTGTCCCCGCGGGCGGCCGCCCCTCGCCAGG